ATTTTTATGTATGTAGGATTAAATATCCCAGTATTTAACAGAGCTAAATAAGTACACCTCTGCAGTAACTTTTAAATTGTTATAAAATAATTTATCAGGATGTTGACTATGACACACCAGCAGCGCTCCAGACTCCGCAGCTGTAGTTGTGCAGTCTGCTGGCAGTGGGACTTAGACAGATGATAAATCGTGAGGTTTACAATGTTTCTATGTATCTGACACAAACTCTTGTCAAGAGTTCAACCCGGTCCAATCTCAAGCATTATAACAAACTAACAGTATTCCAGCCTTTGTGTGTATATCACATGCACATACTGAATTATCTGGTCTAGGATGATAAAATGAGTATTTCAAACAATTCATAAGAAGCTGGGATCTCATTTTATATTCAACATGTTTAATGTATGCTATTCTGATATTCAGCTGTGTGTAAAATTGTTTTTTCGTTAGTGATTTGATGTTGGGTTTTAGAAATGGTTTCATTTTTTTAAAATCCAATTCCTTTTACAATATTTCATTTCCATTTGTAAAGAGACTATGGACTGTGAACTGGAAATTAAATCATTTCAGATTTGTGCCTGAAACTTTTCATTAGTACATCACAGTTTATAAATATATATTATATTTGAATCTTGTTGTCATAATTTAAATACTTTTCATGTTCGGGTGGGACATACGAAGAAAGGTTTACTTGCTAATGCTAGTGATGTGTTTAATGAACATGTTTCTGGTCTTCTGTTTTGTTAGTATTTGTAGAAATTTCTTGTGTACAATGATGTTGCTGTTAAATTTTGTCAGTTGATGATTATTTTACTGAAAATCCGTGTTCTATTAAATAGATTTTTCCCTCTACGTATGCAATATTATTTACAGTTTGATGTTTGAAATATGCATGTTTCTGTGATTATTTGAAGTTTGATGAGTTCCTGAATGTACAAACTAGATGTGCTCAAATGTATTGTCCTTCATGAAGTACGTAGCACTACATGCAAATACTGTATACTACATATCCATTAGTCAGTGTTATGAAATATTGATCATCACTTATGCATTTTACCATCTATACTTTCAATTTATTGAAAATTAATGTTTATCTTTTTAAATTAAACAGTTAATATCCCTTTGATCTTGAATGCAAAGGAAATTCCCATAAAATGTCATTACCTTTATAAACTGTAATCCAGCATTTGAAAAAAAAAATCAGGGCTCTAATACTTTAAGAATATATTCTCTCATTAATCAATGTTTCTTCCCAAATATATTTTTCCATTTTGTGTTTTAAGAGTTAAATATTTTTATTAGAGAGTGTTTGACTGGGAGCAGTGACATCATAAAAATTATCACTCATTTTCCAGCTTTAACATCACACAGTACTATACAATTTCAAGGATATGTTGGAGAGAAAGCATGAATATAGCAAGTGTGGTCATTAGGAAAGTAAGTTTTCCACAGCTCTTGCTTTTAGTTTCTTAAGTTAGAGCAAGGGAAAAAATAACTCCAATATAACTTGCAAGGGTTTTGGAGCCTTAATTTTTTTTTCTTCCATATTTTGTGTATTATTTGTAGTCTTAGTGATATTTGTACCAAATTTTTGGAAAATTTTATTCATTTAAGCAATAGAAACGTTTTTCTTTCTTGTGTATATATATGGATTAAATTGCGCTCTATGAATTTGTGATTTTTATGACACAAATGTAGAGGATGTTGACAACATAAAAACTGATGTGTGGAGGATATGGAGATAACGAACAGTATTCAAGATCAAAATCCATAAAACAATACAAAATAGGAGCAGAGCAAACACAGACCTCAGAGGTGGGATCAGGTGCCATGGAGGAGTTAGCCTCCCCTGCCGACCGGTCACACCCGCTGTTTGCTCCTAGTCGTGATTGGGAAATAATGGAAAAATCCGTCGTCAATTCAGTGCATAAATAATGGACTAACAATTAGTACGAAAAAAGCGTCAGTCAGCATTTGACTCAATAATAAATAGTATTTGCTGACAAGGTCATTGTATCGACCAAAGAACTTACGAAATGATGACTTTAAATGAGACTGTTGATATTCTTGTTTTGATCTACTTGTTTGTCAATAATTTACCCCGTTTTAGAAATTGTTCATACGTAGAGCATGCTCATGCGTTTCGAATCAACAGAGATATATAAACGCCGTATGAAGATGACCAGTCGGAAGGGGATGCTCATTCCTCCATGGCTCCATGGAGGTCTGTGTTTGCTCTGTTTCTATTTGTATTGTTTAATGATTTTTTTGGGCTTGAATATTGTTCCTTATCTTCATCTAATGACTACAGTTACTCCCATTCATATGTCGACACAATATATCCCGGTAAGCTTGAAATAAAAGATTGAAAAGAGTCGGACAGGTCTGTTTCATATATGGATATTTTAAAAGATATGATAAACGTCATGATTTTATCATAACAAAAGTTACACTAAAATAAGATTGTAACACATATTTGTATATTTGTGAAGAGAGATAACAGATGCCAGCTCTGAAGATAAAAATAATTAAAGATGCTGACCACTAGGAGTTGAACTTTTACCCTGGACGGTTCCAAGAAATGATTCACTGGAATGTATTTGTTTACTTGTTTATCAAAAGATGTATTTGGTTATATCATAACTAGTAATGTTTAGTATAATGTGTAGTACATTGTAAGAAATTATTTATTGTAATCATAACGATTACAAATAGATTGTTTAATTTAATAAAGAGTGGAAAGCTGAATCTTGACTGTCTTGGTTGCATTTCATACAGGTTGGGTAAGATCGCTATTCCCCAACACCTGATGGCCGCTCAGGTCCGCAAATTTAGAAGGAATTATATGATAAAAGAAATAGCGGAATTGAGTCATCCCGGTACCTCCACGAATTCCAGAGAATGAGATATATTTGGTTATAAAAAAGCAACTTAATCTTTTAAATTTTTATGAAAATTTCATCGGTTCAATCGTCAACTTCCTCTTTTTTTTATATCAATATACCCTTATCACCATATGGGGTTCACATCTCTTAGTGGATTCGATATGCAAACGGATGCTCTAGATGTACGTTTAAACAAAATCTAAAATGAGGCAATTAATTATAACATGAATATTAAGAGTCTCGTTTGAAAATATAATGTTGCAAGTTTTATGGTCGGTACAATGGCTGTTAGCAAATACAAGTCGACTGGATTATTTTAAAGGACTTTAAGGCTTTATTACTATTCGTTATTTTTATGTTTCATTTATAATTGCGTTGCTTTTCATAAAATTACTATTTATGAAGGATGTTATAATGGTAAATGTAAATAATTTATGAGAGAAATAGTAATTGATAGATTTTTTTTAATACTTAATCGAACAGGAAGCAAAAACGTATACGCTTGTTACTCATTGGGTATATGTTTTTCTCTCTTACTTCCCTATTTTTTGACATTAACGTGATTTAACCAGGGAAAAAAGGAAAAAGCAAATTATAGAGGACTGCCAGTAAAAAAGTGCTATTTGAAATTTGATATTCCTTTTGATGTTAATTCATTTGAATGTCTTGGTAACAAATTAAAGATTGGATAAGTTTCTTATAATGAATATAAATGGGCGTTTGTGTTTGTCAGAAAAAAATATGTGAGAGAAAGTCAATTGCGTGCCTGAGTATACTTTAAGAACTCCAAATACATGTATCAAAGAAATAAAAACAAGGTTACAGTTAAATTTGATGGGTCATGTTAGGTCTAAATAACATTCAAATATAAATGAATATTCGGCGTAATTCCAAGTCATCCACGAAAGCTGGATGCGTCGACTTTATTTTGATATAATTTTGACGAAAGATTTTTTTCTTGAAAGTGTTATAATATTAGTAAATGTGTTTCGATAAGTTGGTTATTTTCTCCTTAAAACGGGTAAGTACACATGTATCTTGTCAAAAGGAGACAATTAACTCATCATTAGGATTTACATGTAGTTATCTCGTTTTGCCAAGAGATTTCTCTGCAAATGCAATAGCCATCTATATAGGTGTAAAATTTGCAGTACATGTACTTCTAATTGATTGATTTGGACTTAGGAAAGGTCCATTCTTTTGCGGATCCGGTTTTAATTTTATATATTAATTATGAAATTCTACCATACGTATCAAAATGATAACTTTAAATAATGGTCAATACTACAGCAACCATGTAATTGTAGTGTCATTGTGCAAACAAGCCATTTAAATACGTTTCATTAATATTATTTTCTGGACTTTGTATTTCACCTATTTCATTTAAATGTCTTTTTTTTATATATACAAACTTAAGAAACACATATTATTCTAAATTGTGGGTATGGTCCAAAATATTTAGTATTTTAAATCAAAAATATACTTGAGATCTATTCGGTTTTTTTTTTAAATTTTAAGACTGTATAGTCTTTTTATACTTTACATTTTTCCCAGAGTTTGAAAAGAATGCTTCTGAAAGCGAGATTCCAAACATCGGGTTGTACATGTGCAAAAGACTGCTTTATTAAAATTATGTGGTCAATCATGGTGATATATGACTTTGTGTTTTTATTAACCTCAGATATAATTCTTAATAATTTTTAATATAAAATGGCACATTATCAGTTTAGATTTTAGAATTATTCTCGTTTTAATTCATCATTTCGTAAGTTGTGTAGTCGATAATGACCTTGTCAGCAAATACAATTTATCATTGAGGCAAATGGTGACTGACGTTTTTTTATACTAATTCTTGGGCCATCATTTACACATTGAATTGACGACGGATTTTTCCGTTATTTCCCGATCATGACAAGTAGCACACGGCGGGTGTGACCGGTCGGCAGGGAATGCTCACTCCTCCATTGCACCCGACCCCACAATTAATGTTTTTAAGGTCCGTGTTTGCTCTGCTCCTATTTTGTATTGTTTAGGGACCTTTAGCCTGAATACTGCTCGTTATCCCCATAATTTATCAAAATTAAGGTACATGTATGTGTTTTTTTCTCTGAAGAACGTTTGAAGATCAAACATCAGAAATCTTCAAAACCTACTAGCAAATGAAAATTTTCATTTTTTAAAAGTTTTAATCTAATTCTGTTCAGTTTTAGTTAAAATATCATACTTTTCTTTGGCTGTTGAATTTTCAGAGGTATGTACTCTGAGACAGTTTGTATGAAAATAAGCATGCAAACGTTGTTTTGTAGGCTTTTTAGTTAGCTCATGCGTTGTTTAAGGTATTAAAATAAAAAGAATATCACTTTGACAGAAAAGTTTGAAAGACCGGGCATACCTTGATAATTATTGAGTAAGTTTAACTTGAACAATTAAAAATAAATCTTTCCAAAACCTCAAATGATCGAGTATTGTTTTAACGGAGAAAATTCCTTGTTTTCATTTTAAAGAGATTTTATTTAATTTTTTTAATTTACAACAAATATTCAATGATTTAATATTTATACTTTTGTTTGAGCCCACATACGTTTGAATTGTAATAATCATAAAATATTCAATATAGGACCTATATAAAATGCATAAACAGTTATATTTCTACTTCCTCTACAGTAATGGCTACCAAGTATTTGGCATGCTTTTTGCTGCTATTTGAAAGAAGTGTCTGTTATGGTATGTATATTTATTATTATTTATCATATTATAATTGATTTTGTTTGAATTGCATGCCTATTATTAAAATAAACTACAATTTCTTTCTCTCTCTCTCTCTCTCTCTCTGTGTGTGTGTGTGTGTCTACATGTACACTGTATTCAGGAAGACAGTTCGACGGGATGACAGGTCGAAAAATTGCTTGCTTGACTGGTCTACATGTATTCAGGAAGACAGATCGACAGGTCGACAGTTTGAAAGATTGTTTGCTTCCTTGTCTACATGTATTCAAGAAGACAGGTCGACGGGTTGACAGTTCGACAGTTTGACAGATTGTTTGCTTCCGGGTCTACATGTATTCAGGAAGACAGACTGACTAATTGGCAGGTCGACGGGTTGACAGGTCGACAGGTGAATAAGTCGACGGGTTGACAAGTCGATGGATTATTATCTACAGTGGGTTTCTGCACTAACCCTTAGCTCTCAGGTGGGTTTGAAGAATAACAATAACATTGTGATGACAATACAGGTTGAGGGTCAAATAAAGAAACAAACCCTTCTTGTGGACTATTTTTAAACGCATTTATTTGACGTACTAAGGCAAAGCACTCACTTTTTGTATTAGGTCACCTGAGTAAACTCAGGTGACCAATTGTTATCTGTTTTCGTTCGTCGTCGTGCGGTGTGCGTCGTGCGTCGTGTGTTTACATTTGAACATTTTTAGCTTCTTCTCTGCAACCACTCAACCAATTTCCACCAAATTTTGCATAAAGCATCTATGGGTAAAGGCGAAAAAATTCTGATTTTCATGGTCCATGCCCCCCTGGGGCCTGAGGGGTGGGGCCAAAACCAATAAAATTAATGCAATCTTTAAAAATCTTCTTTACTCCTGGACATCAAGCAGTCACACTGTTAGCATGAATGTAATGACCCATGAGTCCTCTACCAAAATTTTGCAATTCATGGCCCCAGGGTCAGGGGTTCTAGTGCTAGGGTGGGGCTCTATGGAACATATAGTAGAAATGCATTATTTCTTTTAAAACCTTCTTCTATGCTGCTGGGTATTATATAAACTAACTAAGAACATACTTATTATGTGCAAGAATGCCTCTTACAAAATTGTGAATTTTATGGCCCCAGGGTCAGGGGTTCTGGTGTTAGGGCGGGGCTCTATTGATTACATAGTGAAGATGCATTATTTCTTTAAAAATCTTCTTCTCTGCTCATGGGTATTAAACAAACTAATTAAGTATATAGTTATGATGAGCAAGAATGCCTCTTATAAAATTGTGAATTTAATGGCCCCAGGGGTCAGCGATTCTGGTTTTAGGGCGGGGCTCTCTTGATCGTTTAGTAAAAAAACATTAATTCTTTGAAAATCATCTTCTCTGCTCCTGGGTATCAAACAAACTAAGTAAGTTCAAAGTTATGGTAAGCAAGAATCCCTCTTCCAAAATTGAGAATTCTATGGACCCAGGGTCAGGGGTGCTGGTGTTAGAGTGGGGCTCTATTGATTATATAGTGAAAATACATTAATTCTTTGAAATTTTTCTTCTCCGCTCCTGGGTATTAAGCGATGAACTATCTATATTGCTATGATGAGCAAGGGCCATTTTTTTCTAGTGATTTTCAAGGCCTCTGGTTCAGGGGTACCAAGGAAGGGGGGGGGGGTCGGGGGAGGTCGTGGTGGTGGTGTCTCTACTTACTTAAAACGAATTAATTTAAGGTATGTCACTCGTGAAATTTGTTAAATCAAGGATTTATTGAGAAGTATATTTTGGATAAGTACTCATATAGTGTGACTCGAAATCGCAGAGAAAACAGGGGGTCAGTGTTCATCTTACTGATCTACGGTACAATGAAGTTGACCTTTTTGCACTTATATTTTAACTCTTTCGTTAATTACTTAAACCTTTATTATATTTTATCAGATGTAACCATGGCAAAAAATATTATCTTATTTTACGTAAAATATTTTGAATAATATTTCTCATTGAAAAAATCTTGCAAATTAATACGCGTAAATGATTGTGTGACCTTTTTGCACTAAAAAGTAACATATTTTTGGGTATTAAAAACTAAATAGGCAATAATTTTTTTTTCTTAAATCTAGCTTTTTACGACTTTAGTGCTGATCAGTCACAAGTATAGAGTACTTTAAAATAATGAAAGAGAAAATTGGGGTCAGTTATGTTAATTTTGAAATATTGGTCAAAATATATGTGATCTTCAGGCAAAAAATGGTGTTAATTTTATATTGACTTATTTGACATTATTGCGTTTGCTGAATTTGTTATGTGTATTTAAATTCAAAAACGTTAGAAAAGACACAAATATTATATCAATTAATATGAACTATTTATTTAGAACATAAAATATGAAATATAATATTTTCAGGTTTAAATTTAGATATTTTCCTTTAAAAAATATTGAACAATGTAATACAAATCCCTATTCACTATAACATTCGTTAAAAATCCTTTCTATAATATTACAATATCATTTAAGTACTTAAAAACTAATAAAAAATACCTTTCAACAATAATAGATTGTCACCCTTAACGGCTGCCGTACCTCTATATAGCACAAGAACCCGTATGTTATACAAACGTATCTAGGTAACTAGGTCATAGCAATATCTACATATTTACAATACACAACTTGTATCATTAAAACGGTAATAAAAATACGATAATATTTATTTTAATTACATAATATTACTACAAGAAAACAGTACTCGAGTCAAAGTACAGAATAAATACGAAATTCTTTATACAAATCATGTTCGATCGGGATCGGGATTGCAGTATGAAAACATGTGATTTCCCGGTAAAGTCAAAACATCTTTCTTCACAGTTTTGGATACAAGTTGTAGTTTTCCACAATAATAGACGTAATCATATGAATAGAGGTAATTAAGTATGTAAAAATGAATATGATTAACATCGAAATTAATAAATATAATATGCATTTATACAGTAATCATGCATCAATACCAGTTCGAATTTCCTCGACATGTCACAACAAAGTATGAGACAAGAAATATCGCACATTGTAAACATGACAACGCAATTAACATTTCACATTTATCACACTTTCCCCCACTTGGACTACATTTCGTCCTCGAAATGTGAACAAAAACATATATAAAAAATCTATCTCATGTTATGTGACAGCTAGACTCTAGCTCATTGTAGGATAGAAAAGTATTTTTTTTTTTTTTTTTAAATCTACATTCGTAGTGTACAAACATCATAAACTACAATATAAAAAAAAATCCTCACACATAGTCATAGTGGATATGTAGCTTATTTACTTCATTTCATCTTTTACCTTTTCAACCCAGCTGGGTGTTTCAGCGCACACAAACGGCTTAAGTCTGTCATGATGTATGACCTCTGTTTTATGTTTATTTCTTATTTTGTAGACCACTGGACCAAATTTTTCCGTTATCAGATAGGGGCCGGCCCATGGGGATTCAAATTTCTTGTGATTTGGTTTCAATTTATACACAAGGCTTCCAACGGGCATGGTATTCTCACTGATGCGAGTGTCATAGTCTCTCTTTTGCCTCTCTGCTTGACTTTGTAAATTTTTCCGGGCTACATGATAAAGTTGCTCCATCTTCTCTCTCAGGTTTTCAGCATACTGGTCGGCGGTGTTTTTGTCATGGTCATTAGGCAAGGGATATAGGATACTGATCGGAGTATTGACCTCCCTACCAAACATTAGCATGTTTGGGGAATATCCAGTACTTGGATGAGGTGTGCTTCTGTATGCTGCCATCAGAATGCTGAGATATTTATCCCATTCATGAATGTTAGTTTCGATAAAGCTTTTTATCATCTTCCCTAAAGTTTGATTGAACCTTTCAATCAGGCCATTAGAACTGGGTCTGTATGGGGTTGATCTAGTCTTTTTGATTTGGAGAAGGGAACAGACTTCTTTAAACAGATCACTCTCAAAATTACATCCTTGATCCGTATGGATTTCCAATGGAGTTCCATAGCGTACAATAAATTCATGTACTAATTTTGAGGCAACAGTTTCTGCATTTTGGTTTGGAATAGGGTAAGCTTCCATCCATCTTGTGAAGTGGTCTCCTATAACGAGTATGAATTTGTTCTGTTTTTTCGATCTGGGTAAAGGTCCTATCACATCTATGCCTATCCTATCGAAGGGATAGCCAACGCGATAATCGCATAATTTTGCCCTTGGGGTCTTGTTGAGTTTCTTCCATCTACTGCAAGCTGGACATTGTCTGACATGGCTTTTTATGTCCTCTCCCATCCTGTACCAGTAGAAATAGTTCTGTACTTTCTGAATTGTTTTATTTACACCTTGGTGGGCGGAGAATAGGTCATCATGGCACATTTGAAGGATACTTTGCCTTAGCACTCTTGGAACTAAGAGTTGTTGAACCTCTCTTTGATCTGTAACAACTAATTTTCTGTAAAGAATTCCTTCCTGCGCAGTAATAGATCTCCAGTTCAGCCAAAAGTTCCGAACAGCTGGGCTAAATTGAGATACTTCATCCCGAGATGGTAGTTTCTTTTGTTCTAACCACTGATGAAGAATCTTTAGATCTGAATCTTGTTTCTGAAAGTCTATCATTTCTGTTGGTGTAAACTGCTGCATCCAGTTACACGTTTGGTTCAGATTGATAACTCTTGTACTGAGAGAATTTCCATTTTTGCTGAGGTCAGTCACATTATCAATGTTTTCCTTGAAGTCCTGCCATTGTTCATTCGAGTTTTCACATTCCATACACTGTGGTTCTGTGTCATCATGAGAGCATTTTTCTGGAAGTCGAGACAACGAATCTGCATTCAGGTGTTTCTTGCCTTCTCGATGTTCTATTTTAAAGTGATACTGTGATAAAACCTCCAACCAGCGAGCTAATTGTCCTTGGGGGTCCTTAAAGTTGAAAATCCATCTCAAAGAACTATGGTCAGTTCTCAGGAGAAACTTCCTTCCAAGTAAATAATGTCGAAACTGGTTGATGAAGGTAACCACTGCT